AATAAATTTTAATTATTAAAAAAATTATTGATATTTTATGTAAATATATTATATAAAATTTATATATAAATAAATTTTTACTCTTTTTATACCTTTTATATAAGAAATATTATTAACCTATATTATTAAAGAACAAGTTAAAAAATTTCTGAATATTTTTACAATTTCAATTGAACCGAAATTGTGAAAAAAAAAAGGTTTTTTTTTTAAATGAAAAAAAAAGGGGACATTTTTAGATGGGAAGCAATCTCAAATATCTGAAAATATGCCAATCATTGAAGGTGGTTTAGTTTAGTGAAATTCGGGACGGTTCGGATCGTACTAAACATTTTCAAATTTAATTTTACGAAGGGTTTTTGTGAATTTCAGCAGGTCCAAACGCTGCCTTGCACAAAAAGACACGAGTGCAGGCGATAACGCGGATAGTGATGACGTGTCTGATAACTGTATGGTCCACATCATTCTAATAATGACGTAGGTTCTTGGCGGGCTACGTTTCGATTTTCGCAAAAAGTCAGGCAGGCGCGTGTCAGTACTCGAGGACGCTGACTCTATAGATTATAAAAATGAAAACTATTTACTAGGCTGTTTATATTAGTTTAAAATGATAATTAATTAATAATTGATATTTAATAATTGATAATTATTAATATTTATTATTTAAAATATTTGATTAAAATTTATAATTAATAATTAATTTTGAAAATTCAAAAGAAACACTTTTGCTATAAAAAATAAAAGAATGGAGGAAATAATGATGGAGTTGTTCCGTTCGTTTGGTAAGAGGCGGTTTGGCAGAGCGTCAAGAACAAAGAAGCAGTTTGGCAATACCGTAAGAAGAAAAATAAAATAAAATAAAATAAACAACAACCTTATCTAAGTCACATTTATCAGTATTTATCTGCTCGTTCGGTCAATTTATACGCGTAAGTTGATGTTTGTTGAGCTTTTCTCAAGCTTCCCTGCTTAAAAACTTATTTTTAATTTTTTATTTTAATAAATTTATAAATTTTAGTCTTTTAATTTATAATATAACATTTTTAATTCTTATTTATACAAATAAAAAAAATAATTTTATTGAATATGAGATTATAATGTTCATCAGTTAACTGTTAACATTTTATTAATAATCAACTCACAATTAATATTCCATTAATAATCAACTGACAATTAATATTCCATTAATAATCAACTGACATACTGTTAACAGTGATAAAAATAGAACCAACAAAATATTAATAGTAAGCTGAAGAACATTATAAATTGATATTAAATAAAGATTTTTTTTAAATTTGTAAATGTGAGAATTTTTTTTTTTCAATTCGTAAAGGTAAGAAGTTAAAAATATTATAATATAAGATAAATGATTAAAACTTATAAACTTATTAAGGTGAATGGTTAAAAGTAGGTTTTTGCTACTTCCACTAACTATAAGTTAAAAATATTTTATTACATGTATAAATTTAAAATTTTTATTTTTAAATATTAATTTTAAAATCTTAATAAAACAAATATTTTTTAATAAATGTCTTAGAGATGTAATTTTTTTTGAACATTTCGAATCCACCCAAGGAAGGAAAAATGTACTTATTCAATGGCTAATACCATTAGGCCTATAGGGTCAGATGCGTCTTCTAGATGTAATTTTTTTTTTTTAAACATTTTTACCATGAGATCGATAAAACCGTTGCCCTTGGGGAAGGAGAAAATGAACCTTCAAGTGTGGTTAACGCCACTTGACCTATAGACCAGGTTCATCTTTAAGATATAATTTTTGCTTATTTTTACAATAATTTGTATTGAGAAAGTAAATGTTGACTTTAATTTAGTTAATTAATTAATTAAAATTATCTATTTATCAATGTGTTAAAAAATATCAATTTTTATAATTTTTTATATGAATTAATTTTTTAAAAATATTTATTATACACTTAATATATACTCTAACAATATAAATTAGACAAACCTAAAAATAAAAAGAAAAAATTGTTTATCAACAACAAAAATTTAAGTGAAAATTTTTTTTCCAATTCTACTCATTTTAATCAATTCCATCCATAAAAAACTAAAATATCATAGTTTTTAAAACAACAATAAATCTATTTTAATCTTTTTATGATAATTTATTTAAATAACATAATATTAATTATTTTATCACTTCTTTTAACAAAAACCACTAATGAATACTAATCTCTAAATAAAATTACTTTTATCATTTATTTTGGGTTTACATTTTTGTTTTTCAACTTAAAATTAAAAAGACCTTTTAATATTGTAATAATTTTAATATTTAAACTGCTTATATTTCTTCTTTGTACCCTATTAAAAAAACACAAAAACAAAAAGGACTAGACTTATTCGAAATGTGAAGGCGTTGAGCAAAACAAACCGTTTCTAAATGTGAACAACAACGTAACAAATGGGAGAAAAGCACGGATTTTCAATTCAACTAGTGTAAAAACAAAAAAAAATTTCATTGTGCTAATTTCGCCCAACTAACAATGTTTTGATTTTTCCTCAAAAAAAAAAAAAGAAAAACAATGTTTTAATCACTGCATACCGCTTCTCTGCCCCCAAATCCGACCGTCAATCCGGCTTTCAATCTCTTAACGATTTATACTGACGTCCGTTTTGCTCCACCCAATCAAAGCTTCCCACGTGTCAAAATGTTACCGCGTTACGACTACGCTAACGCGGTCTTGCCGTTTATCTCACCCCTTTATATATTTTTCCCCTTTCCCTTTCTCTTTCTGTAAGACGCTACCTTCCCCTGTAATTTTTCTTTCCTTTTCTCTCTCAGTTTCGCTTCCGCCACAGTGGAAAGGAAGAGAAAGAGAAGATGATGTTGAAAAGATTAGGGTTTTGATTACAGGAGGGTATTCGTTTTTTTTTTTTTGGTTTTACATCGTAATTTTGGTTTTGCTTTTTTTCTCAGATCTACGATGGCTTCGTCATCGTATTGGTGTTACAGATGCAATAGATCTGTAAGAATTTGGAACCAGGATTCGATTTCATGCCCGGACTGCAATAGTGGATTCATTGAGGAGATCGAAAACCCACCACGCGCCATACTTGGTGGTGCCCGTGGCAGCGGGAGGTTTCCGGTGGCCGGGATGTATATGATCAATAGTCCAGATCAGATCGGCTCCCCATCCGCCGTCTACCGTCGTAGCCGCCGCCATGGTGGTGATCGATCCCACTTCAATCCTGTCATCGTCCTTCGTGGCGCCAGTGGAGGATCCAATGATGGTCACAGAGAAAATCCAATTACTTCCGGTGAACATGGTCGGGGTTTTGAAGTCTATTACGACGATGGAGGTGGATCGGGACTGAGGCCCTTGCCTCCTAGTATGTCGGAGTTGCTGTTGGGCTCGGGTTTCGATCGGCTCATAGACCAATTATCAATGATAGAGATCAATGGTAGCAGATACGAGCACCCTCCGGCATCGAAGGCGGCCGTCGAGTCAATGCCCACCGTGGAGATCGAAGAGACTCACGTGGCGACTGAATTGTTCTGTGCAGTTTGCAAGGAACCATTCGAATTGGGATCAGAAGCACGAGAAATGCCCTGTAAGCATTTATACCATTCTGGCTGTATACTTCCCTGGCTCTCAATGCGAAATTCCTGCCCCGTCTGCCGGCATGAACTGCCCGCCGATTCAGGGGAAAACGGAGGACATGAACACAGTCCTGGTTCAGAAGAGGCTGTAGGGTTGACCATATGGAGGTTACCTGGCGGGGGATTCGCAGTGGGCAGGTTCTCCGGAGGAAGGAGAGGGAGCGAGAGAGAGCTTCCAGTTGTGTATACAGAGATGGATGGTGGGTTCAGCAATGGGGGATTGCCAAGAAGGGTGTCGTGGGGGTCTAGAGGGAGCAGAGGGAGGGGGAATGAGGGATTGTTTGGAAGAGTATTCCGCAATCTGTTTGCTTGTTTTGGTGGTGGGTCTGGCGTGGGATCCTCAACAATGAGGAGGAGAAGTTCTCTTTTTGTTTTCAGCGAATCCTCCAGGCAGAGACGAGGATGGGCTGGATAGGTGGACAGTGGAAGGAGGAGATTGTAATGGAATGGAGAATTCAACTTCAGGACATCCTCAAGCCAAGGTTTTTAGTCAATCTGTAAATATTATGACAGATTCAGGTTTCCCAACTTGCAATCTTTCAAAAACTTCGAAAATTGATTGTTCTGAACTGGGGATTGTTCGTCAATAAGTAAGAAGTAACAAAAACGGGTCCTCAAGAGGTTAGTCAGTCCATGGTACCTGTGCCAAGTTTCTTCCATGGATCTTTTAGGGAGCCTGCAGTTTTATCTTTATTGTAGCTTTCTTCATTTTCTTGTAATTTGTAGTTTATGTTGAATTTGATTCTTTTTCCACAAAGAAATCTAGTACAAATTCTATTTAGTATTTTATCAGATTCTTGAAGCACTGTCTTCATGAATTGTGAAATTGCGTAATCCCTTAGATCAGATCATTTCATTTTCTTTGTGTTGTATTTTGGGATTGAATATTTTGACTCCAACAATGTCAAAAGTCAATCAGGGTTAGTTAATTCCGTCCCAAGTTTTTACCTTAATTTTCTATGGATTAATGAATCAATTAGATAAATTATTCATGTGTCTTGCGGGTAGGGAGAAAATAAATAAGTAGGTTGAGCAGGTATTCGTGGTTGCAATCTTGAGGGTCTGGGTCACATCAAGTGACGCCTAGATGAGTCGGATCCCTTGAATGCTTAACTGTCTCCTTAACAATCTGTTCTGGCACCCATCGTTTTCTGGTCATGATGACGACTTGACCTGGTCAGGAAGAAAACTGCAT